AAGTGAAATAAACAATGCCATGATGGCAACCAAAATGTTTGTCACTTTCATTCACTCTCTCTCTCTCTCTTCACTTCTCTTTTCCTTTCGGCGAAACGTGCACAAACATTTCGGAGGGGGTGGAATTGTTGAATGTGGGTCCATTCACTCCTCCCTGGTCAACGGCCAGTTCATCTTCCGCCAATGGCCGAACCTAATTAAAACATCCTCCATCATCCTGGGCGCGCTTCATCCAGATATTGTTGGCGCATATAAATAAATTCTGACCAAACACAGGTGGAAATTCAGGCAATTTGTGTAAATTTTTCATGAATATCGCTATTGTTGCAAATATTTGCCATTTTACACTTTCACATTGCATTTATTTATGCGTGAACTGTGGCAAATGCTCAGTTTCTGTGTCGTGAACTCCCAAATGTCCGCATTTTCACCACTGCCAAAATTTGCATTTTTGCCCCCTCACAAAACACGCTGAAAACTAATCTTTTTTTTCACCCCCCAAATATTGTACAAGTATGTAAAATGTAATTTCCCACACGTGCGAAACTCACGCTTGTCTCTCTGTTCGAACTAAGGGGCAAATCACAAGGAGATTTCTGAGGAATCTTAATGATTTCAATCAAATAATCAAAATTTGAATATTTTCGGACAAAATATTTAAATAAATCAAATTATATTCTAATATTTTCTGAATATTCAAATGAATTTTAAATACTTGATCATTTTATCTACATTTCGCCGCCAGAGGGAAGCAAAGTCGGCGTGGGGAATCGCATAATTTTCTCTTTCTTCTCACACATTTTCACACTTTATACCTTCCTGGCGTGATCCTGGCCAGGAGGCAAGGAAATTTGAGCATGAGAGTGAAGCTGGTCAGCTGATTAAGATCGAAAGACATGAAGAAGTTTCGATTGTATTTCCCAAAGGCGAAATTCATGACTTTTTTCTGTTTTTTTTTCTGTCAAAGTTAATAAGCCAATAATATTGGCAAAATAAATAATATGAATGATTGTAAAAATGACAAAATAATGGTCTCAAATCGCGAGTGACTTTCCCCTTGGTTCAAACACAATTTCCGTGAGAATTTCCCCAAACTCACTTTGCCTGATGGGTTGAAATTGGTACAAATATTTGCAGCGGCAAATACATTATCAGCCAATTGATAAATATTTGAAACGAATTTATAATTGAAAGTCATTAAATGCGATGGCGGAGTCTTTAAACAGCAAACATCCATAGATTAATTTCAAATGACATGGACTTAATTCCGGTGGCAAAAGCTCGGAAGTAAACACAAGAGGCCAAAGTGAAGTTTGAACTGCATTTGGTAATCGATAGTCACAATGGCGCTCGATTGATCATCAATCAGAGAGCAGCAGAATGTTAATTGATCCCTGGCTGGAAATTATGGCGTAAATAAATTTCAATGCAAATTCGATCCTACGGCCGAAGAGATTCCGCACCAGGCTTTATAGTGTGCATTTGATGAAGTCCATTGTTGCATCGGAGAATGGCAAATGGTTTGCGCCCAGCAGTTGGGGGGCTATTTAAAATGAATCAATTAAATGCACCGCAACCCCAGCGACGCTCTTCGTTGCTATTTGAAGCGCCTCTGATGGCCACGCGTGAACACATGCAAATGCTCGCGCGCATTTTTCATCCCAACCGCCAGAATCCCATCAATTGAGCGGAATTATTCAGCATTCGCCCGGCGACAGTACAGACGCGACTTCGCCGACTGAAAGATTGGCCGCAAGGCGAGAAGAATCGAGGCAGCAAACACTGATGAATCAATGCTTTAATCTGATATTTACGGTTTTACGCATAGGTTTGACGTTAAAACCGAGAAATGTGCATAAATTTCAAAAACTATAAAGTGTCCTTTAATTAGATTCCTTTTTACATCCACAAAATGCATTTTTCTTACACAAAATCTTCTGCTAATTTTTCGTATTTAACACAGATTTAGATTTTTCTCTTTTTATGATCAATGATTGATCTTCAAACTGCTTCAAAATATCTCTAAATCCCACACAGAATGTTCAAGTCCATCATTTTGAGCCTATTTATTAAGATGTCTTAATCTTGAATTGAACATGCAATGAAAATCACACAAAATCATATAATAACAACCCCTTAAACTGCTTTGAAACTCTCTTAAGGATCGTTCTGTTACAAAACTCTTTAAGTTCAAGAGACTCTGAGAAGCCTCAAGAATTTATTCTCAAGAGAAACAAGAGTATTTTGGCTCAAGATTTAATTTACTTTCCCTGATGATTCAAAGTCTTGTAGAAATTCTTTAATTTAAATTCAAACAGTATTAATCCAGTTAATTTGTGTCTCTGCAAAAACATTTTTTGGATCAAAGAAAAAGGATTGCGAAGAAACTTAATTCATTTTTCATCTTTTTATGTTCACAATTTGTAGAAAATTTATTGATTTTGACAAAGATAACTTCCAAAAGGCCAATAATTCGAGAAAAACTTACTTCATTCTTCAAAAATTCTTTCAATTGTAACCAAATAACTAAAAATATAACAAAATTTAGGCAATAATTGTGTTTTTTGTCAAGAATACGCAACAATAACCAAAAATTGCTATCAGTAATCTCTGAAAAGATCTTATAAAGTTCATAGGAAACTTCTACACACTCATTACTGCAATGTACACCGCCTTCTAGCGCTGCAATGCCTTGTCTTCAGTGTCATTTCGCTCAAAACCGAGAATGTCTCTCATGCATAAATCATAATAATGCATGCGGAGTATTTAATGTGCGCTGGTCAATTGTGTAAATAAAATTAATGGAAATTCAATGAGGAAATCAAATAATTTGGGAGAATTACGACGAGCGACATAAATCAGGCTGATTTGTTCCAACATTATGGCGCATCACCTAAATTTCCTCGCATTTCCACTGGCGTTGACGTGTGTCTGGGATTTTGGGCGACTCTTGGGCAATGTCAGCCCATTAGAAGCATCAAAATTTCATGACAGCACGACTGGGTTTTCCTACGAATTCTTTATCACCTGAAGCGCTTTCTTGTAACCAGCATATTTACCACCATGTTTACCCATGCAAAATTAACATCCATCCATCATTCTCTCAATTTACAAAACCCACCAGAAATTGTACATTTTTCGTTCGCACAGCCGAGGAAAAAAAAAGGTATAAATACAACTGCGAAATCTCTCGAGCGCCCGACAATTGTAATTCTTCCCAGTGTTTGTTCAGCAAATAAATAATGCGGTGCATCAAGTGTTTTTCGGGCATTTTCGTGTTTTTCCTGGTACGTTTCTCACAGCATATCCATTCATATGTGAGCAAATGAAATTAATACGAGAGAAAAAAAGCGATGTGGAATATTCACAGGGTGTATTTTTTTGCCATTCGCGCGCTCGCGAGCAAATATAAAAGTCTCAAGTTGTGGATTCATGAGCTTTTCCGATGTTCATCGTGCCTTCGCCACCCAGATAAATCACGCATTCAGACACCAAGGCGTCATTGAGCTTTTTGTCGCCTCTGTTGAAGCATATTTTTTCTCGCCACATGGAAAATATTTTGCATATCCTCTGCCTTTTCGCCTCTGTGTCCTCTCTCTCTTTGTGTGTGCTCTGAAAAGCAAATAAACAGAGACGCGCGCGTGATTCACTTGGTGATTCAGCCCCCGAAAAACTCCTTGAGTGATTTTAATCTCTGCATAGTGGCTTTTCTCATCATCCAGCCACAATGCAAAATCTGCGAGACGCGCAGTTGTGGCTAATCTGCACCACGAGCCAGAGGAGAGGCCTCTTGGCCTGAATTATGGGGATTCTTTTGGGAGGAATGTTCGCCATTCTTATCGCTCTTGGTGTTGTTTTCAACCCAAGAATGCCGCCACAGTTCAGCGAATCAATAAAGAACCGGTTAATAAAAATGGCGAATGATCCACCAAATTATCACTTTTATGGCAAAACCGTTTGCCAAAGAGATGCTAAAAACCCACACCAAAGGAGGAGATAATATCGCTAATATCTCAAGAATCTCAAAGATTTCAAGCGCTTCTTAATGTTCAAAATGCATTTTCAGTAAGTTTTGAATTTGTAATTTTAAAAATCGGCCTGAGTTTTAGCGTAGAAGAATTTTCAACAAAAAGTGAGGTTATGAATCTGTTCAAAAATATTCATTTCAGTTTTAAAGACAATTTTAAGAAAAATTGATTTGTGAAAGCTCAAAATTGGTTTGTTTTTTGATAAAACCCAGAAAAATCTCTTTCAAAAAGCCATTTTTCAAATTCAAACATAGATTTTGAGGTTATGTTTAACTTTTAAACAGTTTTATTATCCCAATTGCTTTATTGTATTGATTTCTATAAATTATTTTAACTCAAGCGCAAGAATTGAGGTTTTCCGATGCATTTCAGTGACTAAACCTATTTAAAGTCAATTAAATAACCTAGAAAAGTAAGTTTTCTAAGGCAAATAATGATAAAAATGCGAATTCTTCAAGCATTGTGCTGTACATCGTCTTCTGGTCACAATATCTTCCCCTTGATCCACACATTCTGCGACACATTCATTTAATACAGCGTAGAAAATGCTAATTTTCACTGACTTTCCTCAAGTGTCGCAGAAAGTCTGCTGAAATGGCCCAAATCTGATAAGACAACCCAGTTCCTCTTGACTCTTGAGTGCCGCGAGTGCCTTCAAGAGACGCTGAAGAATCACAGTGGAGTGTGCCTAATGAGATGGCCACTTAAGCTTCGATAAAAGTGAAATATTCGACTGCAAAATTGGCGATGGTGAATAATTCTCCTTTGACTCTCACACGTCAGTGTTGCTGATTTGCATACAACGCGCCGTTGTAATTTGCTAAAAAGCCATCATTTGTTGTATTCAAATGAGGTCATTTCCATATGCAAATTGCGCCACTCTTTGTGTGTGTGTGTTATTTTTCACGCTGTCGCAAGGGTGAAAAGTCACTGGATTAAAAAGAAAACACCCACAACATTCCATTATACAATTTAATATCAATGTACGCGCCCTTTAATCTCATCCCAGGCAAGGAAGAAGTGATTTTCTTAGCTACTCGTCAGTCTCGGTGACTTGTTTGTGGTGTTTTCGCATGGGTTTGCGCCTTGGCGGAGCAGAACCGGGCGCCCTTGTTGACGCTGGCTTTGGATTTTCAAGTTCATCGAGTTGTGCATCAGTGAGGCGATCTTTGTACCAATCAGCACTGCAAAGACACTCAAACGCAATGAGGAAAACGATCGCGACGCGCGCAATCTTAACACTCAACTCACCATTCGGGCACTTTTCTCGCCCATTCGCAGCGCTTCTGCGTGTCGTCAAACACTTGGCCGATCTTGCAGCCATTTCTGCGCGGCACTTCGCCATTGATGCACACGTAGAAGTACTGGCAATCCTCTGGGTCGGCATAGCGTGGGTGTGTTTGGGCGACGCTCTCGTCCACTTTCGGGCAGTTGAAATTGAAGACGTCTTCGCTGGAGCAGCCGACCTTTTGCGCCTCGTCCGGCCAAGTGCAGATGCCCGTCTTTGGGTTGAACACCAAACCAGCCGGACAAGTGATCATGTTGAACTTCCCATCGACGCAGTAGTAGAATTTGTCGCAAACACCCTTGTCTTCGTGGCCGAAGTAGCCGTGAAGGCGCGGACAGTGCAGACTAGGTCGCGGAGTCTCTGCAATTGAAATTAGAGACGTTTTACGCTCCGCCCACTCGAACGCCACGCCCACTTACGCAGTTTCGGGCGCTGAGAGCAGTCGAGATTGAAGGGAAGATCGCATTTCTCTTGATCGGGGCTGAAATCGTTGAACACCATTCCATCTGGACAGAGTTTTTCCGTTATGGCGCCATCATTGCACTCGTAGTATTTGTCACACTGTTCGGCGTCTGCGAAGAATCCAAATGGTTCTGGACACTGATCCGTCACACCATCATCATCGTACTGAGGTTCTGTCTTTGCTGGCGCAGGTTTCCTCGTCGCTTGTGGTCTTTGTCTCTGAGCAATGGTCGATCCTGGGAGAATAAGAGACCAAGACCGGATAGTTATTGAAGCGTGATTATTCATTTGCATTCCACCTTTTCCAGTTTCACCAATTTTTCTCTCTCTCTCTCTTCTTCATCCAACTTCTTCAACACGAAGGTCGAGCATGGAATATGCACTGCCTAAGTGGGCTTTATCAATAGAAAAGCCACTTTAATTTAACTGTCGCCCATTAATAATTCATCACTTCGCGGAATCTCTTCTCAAATGTTTGAACGAAAAATTTGAATGCCATTACAAAAGTCTGCGGAAACTTTCACTTTTTGGCTGTGTGAAGTTTACAAACGGCATTTGTGGAATTCCACATGCAGAACAAAGTGTGTGTGTGTTTCTCGCCCTCGAGAATGTTGAGACAAGCACAGAATCCGCGATTTCGCGGCACAGGGGAAACTCACCTAGGAGGAAGATGACGGACAGCAGGGCGACAAGATGTGTGGCCATCGTGAGTAATTAATGACGACTGACTCTCGCCGTGTCCGAATCCACATTGCCAGCACTCTTGTCTGCCCCCCATTCCAATTCGCGCAACCATGTGTGGAATAGTGGATCATTGCGGGGACAAGCTCAAGATAGTGGGAGAGAGATTGGTGTTGAAGTGATTCAATGTCTTCAACAGGTTTCGCACATGCAACTCCTGCCCTCATAAGAACTCTCTGTGCACACAGAGAGCTGCCTTTACCCATATTTGCCCACACTTGCGTGGCTTCAGGAAGTCACCTCTTGGTTCTTGATTTCATCTCCACAGGCAGCGTCAATGGTGCGCAGCGAAGCCGCCAAAGATCAGCAGACAAAAGACAAACCGTCGTGGAATCTTCTCCGTCGCTTCGGCCAATTCACCGCCAGACAGCAGACGAAGGAGTTCAAGACGCCCTATCAGCTCAGTCCAGAAGTCAAGCAGAAGTGGGAAGCGGCGATTGCCTTCACGAAGACAGCGACTCCCACTGGCGTCCTGCATCCCAACGGACACGGATTTCCGCTCGCGGACACGGGCGCTGAGCTGCTGGAGGAGTACCAGAAGCACCAGCTGAAGAAGCACAGGAAGGGACTGTGGAAGAAGCTGTTCGTGGGGCCACAGAAGGCGCTCCGAAAGCTGGCCAAGATGAAGGTGGATTTCATGGGTTTGGGCGCTCTGTATGGAACCGATGATTTTGGCGTTGAGCATTCATGAAAAATACCAGAGAAAGAAGGTCAAATTGAGCATGATTGCTTGGAGAAATATAAAGTGAAGAAATGACATGTTCCGTTGTTTAAATTTTTCACACTTGCAACAGAGTTGCGAGCATTGTAGAAGTGTTAAACATCAGCAGTTAACGCTCAATATTTGACGATTGTTTGTATTCCAAGGGGAAGATTATACTGTATTATTGTCTGAAGTGGAAATCTGGGATCAATTTTCTATCCTTAAGTGTCAAATTTGTCATAATTTAAACCAATTATTGTGCTTTTTTGCATTTCCTTTCACACTTCTTGAGAAAGATGTTAAAATACAATTTTTCTAGGTTATGTTGATTGAAAGACGGACAAAACTTGCAAAACCAACAATTAAATTCTACTTTTCAGCAGAAAATCTAGCATTTGACGATAAAACCGTTGAAACACTGGAAAAGGCTTCTGAAATCAAACATAACCTCAAAAATTATATTTCAAATTTGAAAAATGAACTAATTTCAGCATAAATACGTATTTTTAAGCTTATTAGCGGTTTACAACATGAAAATACTTTGGTTTCTTCCCTAAGAAATACTAAGAAACATTTCAAGGTGTCTTGATATTATATTATCGGTTTATAAGATAAATTAAATTGGAAGTTTAGCCATTTTATCTCCCCCTTGACGAATTCTCTCTCTAAGCTTTTCCCAGAAAAGCTCCTTATTATGTGGGCAACATTGACCGAGACTTTGATCACTTTGAGGTATTTTGAGGCACTTTGAGGGCTGCAATTGATGAATATTAACAATTGAATTGCCAGGTCAGAAGTTCGTGGCCATTGAATTCCAAGAAGCTCAATCATAATCGCATCTTAGCCGGAGTTTCTGGGCGGCTTTAGCAGCTCTGTTTGGCAATATTCGCTCAATGAAAAATAGATTGACAGTTTAATACATGTCAGGTCGCATGATGCCTCTGAGAAACGAGTGTGCCTTCGTCTAAGCATATATTAAAGTGTCTGCCAGTCATTGTGGCGAATGGGCTTTGGGTCGCAGCGCCCAGTTCAAGAAACTTGAGCACACAATAGGCGGCACGGCTGTGTTGGAGATGAATTGACAGACACACATCGCCGTGCAGACTCGTCTTTGCCAACTCACAATGCTTTTGTGGTGGCCGCAGGTGAGTGTTTATCGGCCCATTTCACCATACTGCTCGCTCGCGGGCAGCGCGTCCGGGGATCTTCAGTTCCCAGCCGAGTGTCCAGCGAGCTGGACCGCGAATCTCTTGCCACACCGCCGGAAATATGTGAGAAGCGCCCAAGACGTCTCTCGATCGTTGGCAGAAATCGCTTTTTTTGTGATACTTTTTAAGGGGAAATTCTCAGCAGCGCGCAGAACTTTCGCAGTGTGATTGTGATATTTCCCAGCCATCACTATGGAGAACACTTTAGTTATTTACGGAATTCTTCTCTGTGCCAGCGTGAGTATTTTCAAATTCTTGGCCACGACTTGTCGTTTGATCTTGATAAATTGCTAAGGAATCTCTCCATCTTTCGACTCCATTTCCAAAATTGCACTTTTCAAGAGTGTCTTTTGGCTCTCTTTCTTTCACAATCCTGGAAAAAAAATGTCCCCAATATGAGCTTTTGTATTCTGAAATTCATGGGTTTCTTTGCAGGAAATTAAATTTATTCCTTTCTAAAGAGCTTTTAAAAGCTTCCAGTAAAATATTCCACTTTAGTCATTGCAAAAGCAACTATTTTCGGTGAGAAAATGAAGTTTTCCTGGATAAATCAGACTCTAAACTCTTGCTTTTTACTGTCTAAATTCTACAAACAATTGATTTTCTCCTCAACCATCTTGAGACACAGCCTGAATTTTGCCAGTTGTTCGGGAAAGTGAGACATAAACTACAGTTGAGAAGAAGTTAAATTTCGCAACTTTATCATATGAATTTCGCATGAATTTCGAGTGTCCTGATTAAGAGTTTGCCGAGCTGCCGATGAAGCGAGGACGAAGGATTCGGTTTAGGACTTGTACAGCAATTATGGTAATCATCAAGTGCTCCATTTCACTCAGGCCATTCGGCCAATTGATTACTGCCTCTTTGCACATTTGCACTCCGTCTCAAGAGCTCTCTTGGTCTGTTTGCCAGGGTGGAGATTGTGTTTGTTTGCCCAGGGTGACTGTCTCAATCGACGGCAGATTCGCAAACTCGATCCGAGAGCGCCTCCAGATCAGTTGGATGACCTGAGCGATGAGCTGGTTTTCTCGGTGACCTTGTGCGGAGTCAGACGACGAATATCGATGACCATAAATTATGTCGCTGGGACAAAAGAAGCCACTCCAGTGGTCGGTCAATTATTCAAATGTGCATCTGCAATTGCGCCTCGTGAGGACGGAAGTTGCGCCTCCGGGACCAGGTGGAATTCCAATTAGCATTTACACGTGTGTGTCAGCGTCGATCAGCATTGAGTGACGCCAGAGTCTAAATAATTCGGCTGCCATTAATCAATTGATTCTATTCCGGAGTTGCACAATTACACGGCTATCGAGCATCCCTCAACACAGAATTGCTCTCATCGGCTGCACAGCACCGAATGGGAATTCCCTGTTAAGACGCACAGCCTCCGAGAGGGTTTTGTGGATGATGAAAGAGGAGATTCGCCCTCGGGGGAGAACATGAATGCAGAATTGATGCCAAAGAAATCATGGAGGCAAAAGCCTTTCAGTTTGATTTCGTGCACCCCAAAAGATCTCTCGCCCATCATTCATCCCTCCTTTGATGAGGCAAATCGTGGGGTTTCTCTACCCCTCAAACCACCCCACCCCCCTCCCCAGAGGAGAATCAGTTCCCCAGCGAATTGATATTTAAATTCACAGCGTGTCTCGCTTAGTCAGTGACCTGAAAATCCTAATTCTCAACTTGCGTTTTGGAACTTCGATAGCATTTAATCTTTATATTATGCACATATTTTATATTCAGCCTTCTTTTTTTTCACCGACAAACACTTTCCATTTCCCAAATCTCAGCACTTATTCACCCCCTCGATATATTGATGGTTCATCGGGAAAGTCGAGAATCGGGCTTTTCATTGCTCTTCAAAGTAAAGGGAAAGAAAAATAAACGTGAGACTGCCTGTCATTATAAGCAAATTTTATTATCCGATCTCGAGGGGATTAAACATGGCAGAAATTCGGGGTTTCGCATGTGCCAAAGGGGAAAATAATATTGGGAGAAGCTCAATTGATCTGCTCAGTTTAAACTTATTTTCACGGATAATAGACGAATCTTTGGATGTCCTCTGATTTTTACGTAGAAGAAAATCACAAAAATCCTTTTCTACGTTATGAAACGAATCAAGATCAGATTTAGTGAATTATTTGCGTTATTCACTAAGCATAATTATGCATTTGCATGCAATTAACATTGCTTTTTTGAATTTTTGATGCCAAGAAACACTGAAAATTGTGTTTATGTCAAACATAACCTCAAAACTATTGATTTGAATTAGAAATTTGTTGATTTTGACAAATTTCTGAATGATTTTGACTCTAAATCAACAATTTTGAGTCCTTTGGCACATCATAGCAGACGATTTTGTGATCTAGAAAGCCTCCAAGCGGAGTTTTTAAAGACTTTTTAGTGTTATTTTGAGGTTATGTTCTCAAAAGATACCCAAAAAGCATTTTTGACGTGGTTTCTTTTAGAAATATCAAATGGAAGCTTAAAGAAATGTTTTCTTTTCCTTCTTTGATGAGAGACTCATATTCGCCCCTTGCCTTTGTGCCATTGACAGCGAGGAGAGTGAAGAGGGAGGAAAACATTATCATTATTATTATTTTGTTGGATTTTAAATTTATGGTAATTCAATGGGGGGCGGGGGGAGAAGAGAAAAATCGGCTCTGGACGAAAATTACGGCATGGAGAGCATTTTGTACCCATTAAAAGTTTGTTGTCACTGCGAGTGGATCTTCCGCAAAAGCGCCCAACTCTGCCCAATGTACAATTTAATTAGGGACTTTTTTTCCCATTTGTTTTAATTCCTCCCCATCGCTTTCTGCGGGGCGCATTTTTCCTGGCACAATTCCATGGGAAGTTTTGGACAGGAAGTTAGTGAATTGGTGAGCCATTGATGGAGGAAATTGCACACCACAAGCGAACACACTGTGGATTGTTGGAGGATGAAATCTATAACCATGTTTGAGTTGAGAGAGAAAATGACTCGCAATTCACTTTAATACCTCTTTAATACCTTTGACCAGCACTGCTGAAGCTTCTCCGGCAGATGGAAAAC